CATGCTCTATGGGCTCCGCCCGTTCCACTGACCTCGATGTCTCTCCCCTTGGGGTCGCACTGCGATGCTGCTTTGCACAGAAGAGACCAAACTGACCGGAACCCATCACTGCCATCTTGTATAAGAAACCACTAAGCTGCGCTTGTACTGAAAGGCTTGAATCCTGGGGACACTGTCCGTGAATTGTATTCTCTCGGAAGAACCTGCGATCTGGCAATATATCTGGTGTATCCTCGACATTGAGACCCAAATCCAATGCTAGTGTGTATGTACTTTTGTGGCCTTTGCGCTACAGCCCGGCCCATAACAGTAAATGGAAGCCCCTTGCAACCTGAAGGACTGCAGGACTTCAAGTCTGCCCTACTGGCCTATGCTCCAGGCCGGCGTTTGCCGACTGTAACATTCAACCTGATACTGATGTGATGTCACGAATTTTAATGCGGATGACACCTCCATCATCGAGAATGTCTACAGTAGCTGTGAAAACACCTCTGGGGTGGAGGCAACTACAGCATCCGTGGAGTGACTCCTAACATACACTAGTTTGGAGCAGCAGATTATACCGACAGCAGCTTGACAAAGGGCCGGTAGTCTTAATCTCTGGGCACAGGCTTGACAAGAACAAGAACAATGTCTGGCGCTGCATTTTTTCTTGAATAAGTGGAATGTGGACTGCATGATTGCTGCATGCTGCAACTCCGGAATTTACATGCTATCCTGGCTGCTGTGGGAGAATGCGGCTGAGTTCAATGCCCGGCTACATGGACGTGGATTGGTGCTGACCGAGAGAACCAAAGGACTTCGACATGCGGGACTTCATGGAGCTGGCTGACATCTACCATCATGGCTACGTCAGATTCGATTCATGATGTCTGCTCATTGGCTGACGTTGCCATGGCTCCGAATTGTCCAAGTCCAAGCGACGCTTAGTCAGATTTTTTTCTGTTGGAACTGGCTGAGTCACCAGTGATGCCACTTGATGTCTGTAAAACATACAAACATAAGTAGACTATGGGACCTGCCACGCTATGTGGCTGGCATCTTGGCTCAGTTTCACCCTAGATGTCCTTGCTCTGGTGAAAGGTGGTCTGTGTCATGTTCAGTATCCACCTGTACATCGTGAAGCCGTAAACCCCGTATCCCAACTGCTTTCGAATACCAGGAGAAATCAGAGATATAAACGCTCATGTCTCCAAGGGGCTGCGCACACCAAAGTCATTGACTGTATGTTTGAATTTGTCTGCAAAATAGAATCAGTGTCCAGCAGGGGTGCCTGTGTTGTTGTACACCACATTTAGCACCATTGTGCCAATGATTTCCTGGGCGGGTGCTGGCTCCAATGACTACAACGACGACAATTTCGCCTACAAGACCGCCGTCTACAACCGAGACATTTCGACTGCTTGGGTATTTGAGGGTGGCTGATATTCGGTTGCAAATGTCTGAGGGCACATTGTCATTGTGTGTGTTTTCCTGTGGAGGTACTTGCCCAACTTGATTGAACTGGTCCCAGCACTCTTGTGATTGTGTATGTTTTCCTGGGGAGTTATCTGACTGGCAATGTGCACTACCAGGCGGCCAGAAGGACCTGCTACCGGGACATATCGACTGCTTGGGTATTTGAGGGTGGCTGATATTCGGTTGCAAATGTCTGAGGGCACATTGTCATTGTGTGTGTTTTCCTGTCGAGGTACCTGCCCAACTTGATTGAACTGGTCCCAGCACTCTTGTCATTGTGTATGTCTTTTTGGGAGGTACCTGACTGGCAATTTGCACTACCATGCGGCCAGAAGGACTTACTACCTGGACATATCGACTGCTCGGGTATTTGGGGCTTGCTGTTATCAGGTTGCAAATGTCTGAGGGCACAATGTCATTGCCTGTGTTTTCCTGTTGAGGTACTTGCCCAACTTGACAGATTGAACTGATGCCAGCACTTTGTCGGCTCCAATGACTACAACGACGACAATTTTGCTTGCTGATGTCCTTCACCTTGGCTTCTTTGCCGAGCACAATGTCGACGGATTGATGTGGTTGTCAAGTTCCAGCGCTAGATTTATCACACTTGTTTGATCTTGCGAGGTAAAGGTGACTGGAGTCCCGCCAGTTGCCTTTACCACGCCAGGTCACACTGTGGCGTTCCTGTCTGAGGTTGGTTCTGGGATCGACTGCAATGATGGTTGCAGGGAAGTTCAAGGGCAGCGCGAATCGTGCTGCTACTTGTATTTCCCTGCAGCCACCTGACACGACGTTCTTCTCCCGACTGCAATGATGGTTGCAGTGAAGTACAAAGCGAGGTGCGCATCGCACCTCGCCTGGTACTTCCCTGCAGCCACCTGCCTGACACGACGTTCTGTCTCAGAGGTGATCGACCTGGTCTGATTCAATCAACGATAGAAGGTTCATGTGCAAGTCGACGTGTCTCACCTCGTCCTGTGTAGGACAGGTGATCGAGCAACCCAGGCCCACGACCGTCCCGTCCCACGTGGTGGGTCTGGGTTGCTTGACTGTTTACCACATGACTGGGAGCGGCTCGGAGAGCCGCTCGAGCCGCCACACGAGCTCGCTCAGTGAGCCTGCCTGAATCCCTGAACAAAAAAAGATGCGCTCTGCCTGTCTTTGTCTATGTCAAATGCCTGTCAAATGTCTGTATATGTCTAATATCTAATATATGTGGAGGAGCTGAAGAGCTGTCTATGGTCCGACAAGCATCCCGTAGTTTGCGATTGAGTTTTCACGATTTCGTGCGTTGCTCGAGTTGTTTCGCAATGTGAGTCCTGTTGCAATGGGGCATCAATGTGCACTTTGCATGACAGGAAAACTGGCGGGACGGAGTTGGAGTCCTCGCAGCTGGAGCATTGGCAACGGCTGTACGACATGTTGCAGCTGTTGATCTGCACGATTCCGCCCGCGGGCTTCTCGTCCGAAGCAAGTTCTACGTTTGTGAGCATTGTGCTTTTGGAAGTAAACAGCCTTGCCCAGCGAGGTTGGCTCGATTGCGACTTCAATTGTGTCGTCCGGAAACTTGCAAGCTCGTGGCGCAGAGGTTTGTTGAAACGGTTGCCATCTCCGAGGACCACCGCAGCTGCGTGGATCAATTGGTAATTGGAAGTTGACGTATCGAACGACGCAGCTTAAGCTTTCTTGCCCACATTTCCACAACAAAGCCGGACATAGCCGGACCATCATGCGCAAGCAATAATTCATGTTTCATACCTTTTCTTCGTGAAGTTTGTGTCGATTCTTTTTGCAACGGCTTGGTTCGCCTCCCCGGGAAAGGGCATGGCACGATGTTTGAAGGTTTCATGGATGGCAGCACAGGTGTTTTACGATGTCAGTTGTCGTGTGGTAAGAATGTTCGTCTGACGAGCTTGCATGGACTTGAAAACGAGCTTGCATGACATAGTGTACTGTTTGACTGGAGCGTCGGGGTTGCCGGCGCCTAAAAACCGTACCGCGGACATCCCTGAGCTCCAAGTCTAGGCACGGTCTATCCAGAATGTGACTTTCTTGAATAACAGAATCAAGTTGGCCTTTGAGGGGGGGGAGGTGCAGACGGAAATGGTTCCACTACAGGCAGAACCCGCCGCTACAAGACCAGAACCCTTATCCGGATTGAGCCTAGGCTCAGGGCGCATGTGAGATGTTTTGAAGGCTCAGACATTGAATGGACCGTTTTGAGGATGACACGGCCTTGTTCAGCGAAGAATTTGTACTTTCGCGGGCCCAAAAGGAAGAACTAGATATCAAAATCGAAAGTTACGGCGGCACGGGAGTATGATGGGGTATAAGGTTTTGAGCATTCGCGTTCCAGCAGCTTAGGGGCACACACGGCGGCAAATGTTTTAAGTTGCATGCCATGTCGGGTTGCAGTATTACTGGCCTAGAATCGGGGAAAACTCGTAATTTGCGGACCGTGAGCAAAGAAAAAGCAGAAGTCATGTCAAACCTTTGAGGTGTTCTGATTGCGGCGAAAACCCAATGAAAAAAACACAGTGCATCTTGTGTTGCTTCAGCTTGTTTCGCTGTAAGTTATCGCCATGCTCATCGAGTTCATGGTGGACGATGTCAATGCATGTAAATGGCTACTGGAGGGCGGTATTCTGCCTGCACTCATTCAAGCGCTCGATGTTGAAGCTAACACAGATGCAACTTGCGGGTCCGGTGTCATCAAGAAGAACAAGAAAAGCACGATCGGCTGCATCGTGCAATCGTTGTCCAGATCATCCTTTTTTTTGGAGGCCATGTGCGCAACAGACATGCTCGATGTGTTTGTGGGCATGGCGCAACAAGAAGTAAAATCAGTTGCACCTAGTGGACCGTGGCAGTTGCCAGCCTTCGACTGCTTGTGCAACATGTGCCATGCGATCCCTGCTTCCAGCCTCTTTAGGCAAGATTTGGCGGCGAGCGGGATGGTGGATGTACTTTGTAGAGCAATGCAGCTACAAGAATACAGCCGTCGAGTTCAAGCCGCGGAATCATTGTGCAGTTTCTTCGCAAATCACAACGTGGATGATGCAAGCCTCTTAGCGACAGCAGCAATTTTCCGTGTCGTTGCCTGCCCTCGTACGATTCAGGCACTGGTCGATCTGGCATTTCCGAGGACTATGAAAAAGCCAGTCGACAAGACTTGTGAATGCTTTCGACACAAGTTGCCTTGGCTGTTGGCTGTCGTTGCTCGGGCAGCCCCCGCTGACCTGAAGTTATGGTGCGATGAGAACGTTGGAGTGCGTAGGTTGCTGAGTTCCTCGATATCTGGATTTAGCCGGGAGGGGGCTGTGTGGGCGCTAGATATCCTCATTGCCATGTGTGGGCGTGTGTCCAAGTCTGTGCTGAATGAGTTTCTCAGCCGGACGCCCTGTGCACTTGTGTGGCAAGTATCACAACTGGTGCGGCATGAGTGGCATTCCATAGCGCACAGAGTATTATTTGTGGGCATCTTCTGCACCACGTTGTTGCCAGCAGCGGCACCGACGATGGTGGTATGGGTGTCAAACCGCATGCCTCCTCCGCTGTCATCCCTGCCTTGGCATAACAGTCAATCGCACGCAGTAGCGGGTCCTCTGTCTGCAGAAAGACAACTCGCAGAACTGGCCTTCGATATAGTCTTGGAGATCAGCTTGCGTGGGGGCGGCACGTTGGACTCGTCGCATGCTTTGGCCGACGACGTGCGCATGCATCTTTTCAACGTGTTTCTGGCAGCTGCAGGGTTGGATGCCGCGCTAGCCCTGCTCGGCAGCAGTGTTTATGATGCCAAGCGTTTTGCGCCGCACCGGGATAAAGTCGCCACCATTGCTAACCTTCTTTGCGATTCGCTTCAGGCTGTATGCGGAAAGCTTGAGACAGCTTCTGCACAAGATGTTCTAGCTTCTCAGGCATCTGGCGCAGTTGATTTGCTGGCAGGCATTTTGACAGGGCCAGTAAGAAGCCTAATCGGCTCTGACGACAGCCGCCCAGTCGCAGGCGACGCAAGTTCGACATGCGACTTGCATTCCGTGCTCCGCACCACAGGCTGCACAGCAGTGACTCTTCTTGAAGAATTTGTTTTTCGGTGGCCTCACTGTTTGCAGCCGCTCCCTGACAACCGCGTCGATGACGGTCGTCGTGATGCACGCGGAATGCAAGCTTTGGTGGTCGTGCACGAGTTCTTATTGAATTCGAAAGACCTTGGTCGCTTCCTCGTTCGATTATTTTTGCGAGCATTTTTGCAAGTGGAGGGTTGTGCACAGGTCGCATCACCGAAACAAGTCTCGTCCGGCATCTCCGTGGACACGCTGATAGCAATAGATGCGGAAGTCAGTCTTTGCACCGGTCACGTGCCGAAGGCGGCACTTACCGATTCAAGCGTTGTGTTTGATGATGAAATGAAGAACTGGGTGGCAGCATTGCTCGAAATGGAACTCTGCTTTCCGGCCTTTTGCTCTTTCTTGGCATCTTGCAGCTGGTCCGTGGCCAATGCGACACTGGAGTGCATGGTTGTGAACTCATCCAGGCTGGCACAGACAGGAACAAACCTGTCAGTCTGTCCTCCAAGACCCGTCCGGCAGGTTGCCTCACTGCTGCACCTGGCTGCTGCACGCTTTGGGCGACTTTCCGACTCCTCCGCCTTGCCCGAGTTGCACTTTCATGACCTCGTGGTGCAGCTTTTGCTTGCACAGTCGCCCGGGAAACCGTGGATGCAAGGGAGCCAAAGCGATTCCAGTATGTTGGCAGAGGTGTTTGCTTACCTTTGGGGCATTGGGCAAGTTTCCTTCTGGTACACTGTGCCGTTGGCCATGGATTTGCGAAGGGAAGTGGCTCGAGCATTGTCCGTGCTGCTGGAAAACAGGGACACTGTTCAGGCAATAGCCTTGTCAGAAGACAATGCTTCCTGTCTTGGGGTCCTGCGCCAAGTGCTTCGAAATGCGCCGGGCAGCTTTCCATTGTTCACTTCGACACAGCCTGGAGCTTCGGATGCTTCGGTGTTTGACCTGCTTTCGGAAACATGGACTCCTCCAGGCAGAGTTCTCCTCGCAGCTCTCGTCCAACTGTGGCAGATATCAGACCATACTAGTGATGGATGCGGCCTGGAGACACTTGCCAGGCTGCTCTCCCCAGTTTTGCGTGCAAGCACATATCTTATCGCGGTCTGCCCGCGACCGGCCGATCTTTTCTCAGGTTCTGACGATGTCAAGACTGTCCTGCGAGTTGCAGTTCAACTTGTGATGTCGCCTCCCGCGATGTCGGATGCAAGCCCGAACGACTGGCAGCGACTAGGCGGCGAGCTGATGGTGCCACTGTTGCACCGGCCGCCAGTGGTGGAGATGCTGAATGATCCTGTGGATCAGGTATTGTGTGATATCAAAGGTGGGATAGAAGCTTTAACATGGTGTGCCAGCTACACACTGAGTGGGGCTGGTCTCCCTGGGAGTTGGGGTTCCAAGGCAAAGTCCTTGCTCAGTTTTGTTTCGGCGCAGAGCTCCCAAACTGCACCGTCGCCGAGCCTTGGTTTTTCAAGTTCAGAGAGATGTGGTCATGGTAAGTCGTGGTTGTCCATGCGTTGATGCATTCTGATGGCCTCTGCTCCTAGTGACCGAGTGATTGCTCCGCAGGCCAGAGAGGTCTTGCTCTGAAGTTGCTCGTGGAAATGCTGTCGATGCTGGTTTTAGCGAGTCTAATTCCACGGAAGAAGACGATGCCACAGCAGCGGCGGTGCAGGCTAGGAACCTGCAGGAGGACGAAACATGCGTGGCACCGTACACACGCATGCGCACAAGCGCTGCCTGCAGGAGCTCTCGGCATTGAACGCCGAGCTCGGAGCCTTGGATCTCGAGCTTGCGGAGACGTCGTCTCAGGGAGAAAGGGATTGCGGATCGCCGGAGGCGACTCAGCTCTGGCACATGCACTGTCACTGCGGATTGTTTGGTTGTGCCGTTTTATATTTTGATGTGCGTGGATGCACACACTCCCGACACGCTGACAGCTGACACACACACACACACACCCA